ATATGTTGATTGTCAAAAATTAAGTTTCTTCTTAATAATGTTATCTTTTCTTGTTTTTATTGGTGTTTCAATTGTGTAGGAACAATCACTAGCTAATGTGAATAATATGATGCAAATGAAGACAAAACATCGATGTGGATCAAAATCAATCCTAGTCAAGGTATACAGCTCGGTGCGTTCTACTAGTGATTTGGGGGGGAAAAAAAGTTTTGAGAAGTTAAGTTTTAAATTGAAAATTTAGGGTTTTTAATTGGGGGTTTTGATCGAAAAATTATGATTTTGTTGCCATTGACAATTTTTCAGGTAATTTTGATTTTTGCTTCTAATGGCTCCTATTTTACTTTGACCATTCTTTTTGTTCAAGATTTTTGCTAGGTTTTTGTTGGATAGAAAATTCGTATCAGGTGATTCTCTTCCTCATCTCTCTGTGATGTTTGCACATGTTTGTATGTATCTAAATATTAACATATACCTAAAATCGTGACTTCATATGAAGATGATTTGTGTTATGTGTATGATGATTGCTTGTCTTTGTTTCTCTTTGTTGTCTTTGGCTGGTTATGTTTGTGTATCTATGTTTGCTTAGGTATCTCTATATATCTCTACTTTGTTTCTATTGTCCCGTAGAGAAGAAAACTATATACATGTTATTTATGCCTCTTAGGTGTTTGATAAAATGTTGAGTGGTTGGATCTTACTAGAATGTATGCTAAAATGACAATGACATTGGCTACAAGTAGATATCAATACATTCATACAGACAACTTACTTTTAATGTAACACAATTTTACTCCCATGTGATATATATTTCATAGCTCCATCTTGGATGTCCCTAAATTATTCTCCATTTTCAGAAGTCAATGGATAGTTTTACTAAATTTCCCTCAATGTCTCTCTAAAATTAGTACTAGTTGGCCAGAGATAATGCTAATCCATGTAAGGGTAAAATTGAAACCTGCAATGTAAACACATTAAATGAACTTCACTCAAACATTGTGCTTATTTCCAATGTATTATAATTTTGGGTTATAGCATGTAAAATTACAAATTTAGCTTGTTTCTTTACTTTGATTGTATTAATAAAAAAGCTTGTTTGAACAAAAACTTCTCAAATAGAACTTATGTGAAATTAAGTGTACAAAGAAGAGTGTGTATATATGTTTTATGTATAAAATGTTCCCTTGCTTGATTCTAGGGGTTGTCATGTTGGAAACCCATGCTCTCTTAGATGTCCCTAAATGATTCTCTATTTTCAAAAAAGAAGTGAATAGTATTACTCAATTTCCCTCAATTTCTATTGCTGTAAAATTAGTACAACTTGGCTACTAGAGGTGATGCAAAGCCACTAAATGATAAAATGGAGACCTAAAATTGTGAGAATTCGGTCAATGGTTTTTATTTTATTGGATTAGTAGGCTTTGTTAGTATATTATGTTTCTATATTAATTTAGTAGAAATTTCTTAATCAACTAGGGTAGAATAAAAAAAAACTTTGACATTTAGGGGCGAAAGGTCACGGGAAAATAGTGTTGCATTGTGCCTTGCAGGAGCAAGGAATAAGAATTGTTGTCAAATTTTTTATGAATTTCAATGATGATGAGCATTTCTGTTCTATTATCTAGGCTTTAATTTTAAGGGATTGTTCTGCCTTATTTTGCAAACCAGTAATGCCAGAGGTGACTGATATCACATGCCGTTGTATATATTTGTAAACAAGAGGTTGCTACTAGTCCTCCAGATATTTAATTGGGCTTAGCTGCCACCTGACTGCCCGCCCATCCTGAAATTTATTGGTGGAGCCTAATTTGAACTTGGTCATAGTGGCCTGAACTTGAAGTTTGGCTGATCTTTTCCCAATATGAAATGAAGCTTTTAATTATTTTTTATGTTATATTTGTGTTTTTCAATTGTATTGTAGAAAAGCACAATCATAGAAAGAGGCGAGATAGGGATAAGGTATTTGAACTGCAGTTAGTTAAGTTAGAACTAAGCTTTAGCAGACTTTTTATTTATGCTGAGTAATGTTTCAGGTGTAGGTTGGCCTAACTGAGAGTCGTAGAAGTAAATTCTAAGGACTTTTTAAAACATGTCAGTAGATCTGTTATTTGGTATCCATTATTTATTTATTTAAAAGTTTTGTTGCAACACCTCATGATCTATCTGACAAACGAAATCATTGTAAGCAGGTTTTGTGCTTTGTGTTTTGTCCACTTATTCCAGAAATTTATTGTGATGCTAATGAAAATTGTTATTATGACTCTGTTTTGCAGATCATACGTCTTTTTATTTAAATTAAGGAACATCACGGGATTCACATGGCTTTCTAGTTTTTGAGCAATGTATGACTTTGGAATCTATATTATTCTTATTTGCATATTCTGAGATGTAAAATAAATCGTTTCTCAGTTTTGTTTCTTTCTCAACATTTTGTTGTTTTGCCGGTTCATGTTTTCTCTTATTCTCTGAAATACTGAAACAAAATATAAAGACCACAAATCTTTGGACAAGTAAAGAAGTTCATGAATCATGAATATAAAAACTTTATGGAGACTCTTTCTTAGGATCAAAGGCCAATAAACATAAATGAGTGGTAAAACACATTCTTGATATCACCTTTACTGTTGCAGTTCCTGTCTCATGCTAATTTTGTAATTGCTATTTACCTCCATCTCATGTTTTTATGCACTGTCCAAACTTCAAATTGTTTGTTAAAAAGGGCATGCTTGAATATGTGATTAAAGAAATAAGAAAAACTACAAATTCATCAGATAATATATTCTCAAAAAAATCACAAAAAATAAAATGATACAATTTTATTGCGTTACTTACTGTTACCAGGTTCTGGTACTGGTAATTTGAGGAAACTCAACTCACTAATGTCTTGTCGCAAAGGTTTTGGTACTTCTGTTCTATTTAGATAGAAATGTCACCAATGTTTAATGAGAAAGTTAGGAGATTCTTTAATGGGTCTGGGTGTGTAATCCTGTGCACACTTCTGGATGTGTGTGAAACCAATTAATTGGCAATTTCTAAAGCTTCTTGTTTTTTCATGTCTTGTGAGTGTGTCATGTGTCTCAGGGTAGCATCATTAAATTCATCTCAAAATTGCTCTAGATTGAGTTCCATTTTACTTGTTATATGGCAGATAAATAAATTACGAATTGAGTCAGCAGATCCTACAGAAGATGCTCCTGAAATGCATCATGTGGAAGGGGCATTTGTTGAAACATTATTGTAAGTTTTTTTATTGGAAAAATTTTGAACTTAAAATTATTGCAAGTCTGAAAGATATTTTACAGTTGAGTTCATTGTTATGTGTACATAATGTTTCTGATCATTCTGCATGCATATTTAAGAGTTGATTATTGTATCATCGTCTTGTTATGTCCAATTGAGGTTGAAGTAGATGTTCTTAATTTCTTTTGGTTGATTGTTCCTTTTAGTAGTCTACCACTCAAATGTACTTATATTCTGTAGACCAAAGGCTAAATCTCCACCTCAAGATGCTTTACTAAAACTGGAAACAGAGCAAACTTTCACTGAACTATCTCAAGAGAGCTCCATGTTTGTTTTTAAGCTGGGTTTAGTTAAGCTCCAATGCTGCCTCTTGATGAATGGGCTTGTTGTTGATGCTAATGAGGTACTTGCTCGAATCTCTTGTTGCTTCTTCTTCCTCCATAATAATATATTCTTCTATTTTCTTAGCTTTTGTCTTTGACTGTGGTAAGATTTCATTTAAATTTTGTTTGTTTTTTGTAGATTTCTGTCAGCATGTCGTATATGCTCTTACAAGAGATATGGGTTCTTAAGTTGGATTCTTCATGATCTCCCATGACCATTAGCACAAGAATGACATATTTAGAAGGCAAAGTTGATTATTCTTCTTTGTAACTTTACATATGATTGGCTACTTTTCTTCTCTTTTATTTTTGATCCCTGGTTTTGTGACTCTCTTCCAGGTAAATCAACACTTTAGCCTTACTAGGCTTCTGTCACTCCTAGTTTTCAAAATTTGTAAAGTCTTACGTCTCATGAACGATGAAAGGGATGTGATGAATCATCGTGTCATTCACATCATGGATGATGTTTTAAAATTATAGGTTTATTATGGATTGAATGAATTATTAGGAATTATAGGTGTATTGTTTTCCTTCTTTTGGCGATTAATTTATTAGTCGGGACAAATAAATAATTTTTTTTTGCAAAAAATGACAATTGCCGACCAAGAGTTTTGGTCGCAAAAAATACATATATTGCCGACCAAAACAGCTCTTGGTTGTGGAATCTCACTTTTGCCGACCAAAAGTTTTGGTCGCGAAAAGTAACAAATGGCGACCAAATTTTTTGGTCGTGGAATGTCACAATTGGCGACCAAATTTTTTGGTCGTTGAATGTGATAATTGGCGACCAAACTTTTTGGTCGCGAAAATATCACTTTTCGCGACCAAAGTGTTTTGGCGACAAAATAAATTAGTCGCGGTAATTAAACATTTAGCGACTAAAAATTTAGTCGCGAAATCCAACTTTTGCCGACCAACCACAATTTTGGTCGCGAATTACTTTTGCCGACCCTCAATTGGCGACCAAAGTAGCAACTAAAAAAATTGGTCGCGGAACACTTTTGCCGACCAAAAATGGGCTTTTAGCGACCAATTTTTTGGTCGGCAAAAGTGTTAATTCTTGTAGTGACACAAAAATTATAATGTTCGAATTTTTATGAAGGGCCTAAAATTTTTTCATCTTAGGCCACGAATATACTTGAGCCGCCTCTTCATGTAGGACAACTTTAATGATTATTTGAACTTGTTGGATCAAAGTAAATTGTAGAAAAATCGTGTGTGTTTTGTGTGTGTGCGCGCGTGCACGGTTGCAATTTGAAACATGCTTGCCATATGTATATGTATATATATACATAAACTTGTGATTTGTAACTTGAAACAGGATTTGATTGAGTTTGGAGGTTAGATTTTGTTTCATGTATGGAGCTTGTTGAGACTTTGTTTCAGGATTTGGATTTTATTTCAGGATTTGATTGAGCTTGGAGGCTAGAATAGACTTGTTGAACTAGTTTTGAATCCAGAAAATAAAGCTGTAACAATTTTATCTCATGTTGTCATAAAACATTTGTGTATATATATATGTAGGAACTTTCTCTGATCGTGGGTTGCGATTGGGGGGAAAAAAATTGATTTTTTTGTGTGTATAATTATGACTTTTGCCGCTCGTATTGTATATTATTGATTAAATTAATTTTGCCCACGGCCCAATGCTTTATTTTTGAGACTGATAATCTCAATTACTTGCTGGTAGTGGACGAGTGGTCGTAAAGAATTTACAAAGAGAAAATGAAAATGATGGAAAAAAAGGGCAATTTTGTAAATACCAAGTTAGATTTTAAGATTTGAATTTTTTTATATTCAATGTTGAATTTTTAAGAAGCTTCTTATTGAAATATAATTTTTTTTCATTTATTATTTAGGTGATATTTGTCTAAAATTAAAGAGAAAAAAAAGAAAGTATAATTTATCTTATCTTATAGTGCATTACAAAATGATTTATTTTTTATGCATACAAGAGAAAGATATTTATTTGTCATGGTAAATTTAATTATTTTTTTAATAAGACGTATCTTATATATATATATATATATATATGCAAACAAAATAAATTGAATGGTACACAACATTTCTTTTATTTTTATATTTTTTTAAACCTCATACTTTTTTGAAGTAAATTATTCATTTTACTAAATCTCCCCCTCAAGATGCTTTACTAAAACTGAGATCAACGTAAACTAATTATCTAATAAATTGGATTGCAACCATAGACAATGAGAAGTAAAACAGTAGCATGTAATCTTATGAATCTAATTATATAATTTATGAAAACATCAAAAATCTATTTTAAGCTTGTTGTTCAAATTGTGAAATTAAATAAATAGATTTATGAATAAATTTTAAAATATATATATATATATAAAATAATAAATATCTAAATTTCAGTAAAATATATTAAAATTAAAATGGCGCTAGAAACGATTGTTATCACTACTCGGTCCAAAAAAACAGGGGCAAAGGAGAGGGATGGGACCGCACGAACACCCCTTTTCTTGGTAGTGGGCGGACTTGACTTGACTAATTTTTCTAGTCACCACCACCACCACCACTATCATCATATAATATAATCAACATCCTATGCTCAACCCTTGGACTAGTCTCAGCTTTTTATCTCATCCTTCCCAATTCCCAAACCCTCCATGAATTCTCATCATTAGCACCCATCAATTTACTAGTTTACTGCAATTTGAAGCCTGTGTTGTTGATCTTGCTTTGCTGGGCATATCTCACAGGTATTATTACCATAACTCTATTCACCTTTGATTGCGTTTACTTGTGTTACCCTCTCACCTTTCTTTTCTCCTTTCTTCATGGCTTATATATTTTGGGTCTGTGTTAATTTCATCTACTCTCTCTCTCTCTCTCTGGAAATTTACCTGAAGATACATTGTGTTCATGTTGTGTTGTGATGTGATGTGACGTAAACCCTATATATATATATATATATATATGCCTTTAACTGTATGCGGGTGAGGTGACATACAGACAGGTGACAAAGCTATTTAGGAAAATTCTCTGCTTGAAATTAATGCTATGTTCTGTTCCCCATAAACAGAAAGCCTTGGCTTTCTTGGTGTCCATATTCCTTTTAGATTGCGTTTATTTTGAGGAATTATTCAATCGGATTGGACTATTAGTTATTAATTGTTTATTGTTTGGTTTAATTTTTTTGTTTTAGGTTATAGTCCTTCATACGAGAGATTATTGTATCTTAGGAGAGGGGTGAGATTATTTTCATAGGATTGGTATCCCATGAGACTAATGTGTGAAATGTCTATTTTACCCTCATGCTATTATTTTACCCTCATGCTATTACTTAACAAACAATTGAAAAATTGTAATATAGTCTTTTGAACATTTATAAATTATTTTTTTAGTGTTGTTAATTTAAAATTATATATTAAATAAAAAATATAAATTATGAATTATAAATTATAAATTATAAATTAAATTTAATTAAAAATTATGGCCTTATAATTTTTTTAGTGTTATTAAAAAAATTATTTTTTAGTGTTGTTAATTTAAAATTATATATTAAATAAAAAACATAAATTTTAAATTTAATTTAATTTAATTAAAAATAATAACTTAAAAATTATGGCCTTATAAATTAAATTTTTTTAGTGTTGTTAAAAAATTAAATTTATATATTAAACAAAAAATATAAATTATAAATTTAATTTAATTGAAAATGATAAATTAAAAATTATGGCCTTATAAATTAAAATTTTTTAGTGTTGTTAAATTATAAATTATAAATTACAAATTTAAAATTATGTATTAAATAAAATTATAAATTACAAGGGTAAAATAGTCTTTTGAACATTTATTCATATCCAGTCCGTCCAACCAAACATTGGATTTACTAAAAATAGTTTAATCAAAACATCTAATCTCATGACTAAACAAACATAGGATACAAATCCAATCCAATCAAATAGTCTCGGAACAATGTATCCCAGGACTAACAGTCCGATGGATTATAATTCCTCTTTATTCAGTCCGTCCAAATAAACACACCTTTAGGGTTTGGCTTCTCTCACCTTGGCCATCTAAAGGTGAGACAGCGCTTGGGCTTGGTTGGCCCATTTCGAGATTGATTGCGGTGATCTGAGTCATTCACCTTTTAGGATTTGTTTGGTAGAGTATTCATGTAAAAAATCAAAATGATATTCTTGAAATTATATTTATGGTCCATTTGATTCAAACATATAGTTGCTGACGTCCAATCATCTTGATTTTTTACATGAATATTCTATACAATGAGTCTTAAAAAGCGAATGGTTCGGATCACTGAAATCGATTACAAAATGTGTCTACCAAATCCAAACGCTCTCTCAAGCTGAGATGGCAACTTGAGGGAAGCCAAACCTTTTTCTCAAACCCTCTTAGTCCCCACTTCCCCCAAAAAATCTAAATTAGTTAATGTGTCTTCAACACAACTCTAACAATAGTGGCAATTATGTTAGTGATGATCAAGTCTGCAACTTAATAGCGAGATTGTGACTTTTAGCTTTGATGTTTAACATGTATGTGAACAATGAAGAAAGGATTAGACAAAGCTTTGTGATGGCAGGTTTTTTTAGGAGCTCCTTTAGAATCAAATTCTCTAGCATTTTTTTTATGTATCTTAGCCTAGGCATTGAGATGTTGATTATTTGCAAGAATAGTTAAAAATTGGGAATCTTATTGATAAGTAACAATTCTATGAAATATGTTGCGATGGCCAATTTACTCAGATTTTAGTTTTGAAGACATGCATATAGCAAAAAAATAAGGTTTGAATTACTGAAGCATGCGTCCATTAAGATCCCTTTTTCAATTGACGAAATCCAATTATAATGAGGATAAGTTCAAATATATTTGTTTTGATAAGAACCAAATCTGATGAATATATGTTTACTGGTGGCTGTGAGTTATTTGGGGGTTGATGATGAATGACTCTGTTTTAGTGCTACGGTTAATGGATTTGGATAGTTCTTACATGGTGTGGACAAGCACACCATTTTTGAAATGCATCGAGTCCTCTTTCCATTAGTATAAAATTTTGACTACCTTTTTTGTATTATTGTTAAACCTTTATTCCCAAACTTGTGCAAGCTTCATCTACTATATATATATATATATATATTGTGATGGATAGCTTTTGACATGTTTTTCAATTACTCTTTACTTTTGTAGTGATTACACAAGGGTAGTTCCAACAGGAGCGGAAATTTGTTGAGCAAATTTCACTTTTCTTGAAACTAGTCATTTGTTTTTCATTCAAAATCATGGCGAGCGACGCTTCTGAAAGTATCACTTTGAAGATCCTTGTGGAGAAAGAGAAAAACCGAGTTGTTTTTGCTGAGTCAAATGAGGATTTTGTCGACATTATATTCAGCTTCATGACATTACCTATTGGAACTATTGTTGAACTCCTTCGTGAGCACTTATTAAAGGGGGAGATTGGTTGCTTGAACAACTTATATGAAAGTGTCGAAAATCTTGATGAGAAATATCTAAGAAGTGAGCACAAGGAGATGCTACTTCATCCTCGAAGTGCAGCTGAAATATACCATAGGAACCTAAAACTAAATTTGATTGAAAGCAATAGCAGGAGCAAATATTATGTTTGTCGCAATTTTGATTGTAATGTTCTCAACTATTACCAAACTTCATGTTGCCGCTGTGGAATACCCTTAAAACTTGAGGTAAATCTGTCAAATCCGGTTTCTCAAGATGGAGGGGTGTTTGTAAAACCAACTGCCCGCTTTATGATATCGGATGACTTTAAAGTATTGCCTCTGTCCACCATGGCTGGCTTATCTTTGCTCAGCAATTTCGGAACAATGGATGATAGCAAAATAGAGGAGAGAACAGTGAACCTAGGAAAGAAAGAGGTAAGTAACAAATTCATTAGTTGTTTTTCTAATTGCATAAATGAAAAATTAATAAATGTTTTCCTTATCATTTTACTCTCTCTCTCTCTCTCTCAGGTTCTGAAATTGCTGAAGTGTTCATTAACATCAAGGACACCCCTGTCTGACACCATTATGGAACCACCCATCAGTAAGACTAGTTTAACGGTTCGCCGTGGAAAATATGGACCGAGGAGTACACGTCGATCTCAAAGAATTAAGGACACCGAAAATGTGGATACAAAGATAGACTTGAAGCTTATCATCAACAAATCTAACAATAGGGCATTGTATGCAGAAGTTGAAGAAAATTTTGTTGATGTCCTATGTAGTTTCCTTGCATTTCCAATCGGTTATGTCTTTAAAGAGTTTTCGTCTTTGTCCTTCAAGGGATGCATGGGTAACTTATTCAAGAGCATCCAAGATACCAACATCAATAAGTTTTTCAAATCTGAGGAGATGAAGGGTATTGTAGTCAATCCAAAAGTAGCCCCAGGTCTTGCTGGTGGCAACAAACTAGTTGGCATTGAGGAAGCTTTTAACCCGTCATTCTCAACTCTTTCTTCCTTGTTTACAACGAAATGCTTTGATTTGAATTCAAACTCCCTTATCAAGGAAGCAAAAATTGGCGGTGGATTTATGAAGGGGCCATCCATGTTCATGGTGACAGATAATTTGTCCATAACACCTTTATCTCCGATCTCAGGCATATCTCTTATCAACAGATTAAAGGTACCCCTCAGTGACGTTGAGGAATTGGAGGTGACCATGGGTGAGGAGGAGGTAAATTAACTGCTGTCAAGTTATTTCTAGGGTAATGACACTAACCTCTCTTGAAGTTTGGAGAAAATACATTGAGCCCCACATGTTTGACATAATTACATTGGGTTCCCATAAGATTTTAATTCACATAACACGTCGCCCCTTTTTCATCGATAATTCATTAGTCATATAGATGAAAAATGATATTGTCATCTCTTTTATACTAAAATGTATACATTACCCGTGTTTATCGTTGTGTTTACGACCATCTGCATTAGTTCTGGATACTTTTGCCTTACTAAAGGGTGATCAATGTAATTATACCAAACTTGTGGGGCTTATTATATTTTTGTAAAACTTCAGGGGTGGTCAGGGTAATTAGCCTTATTTCTATCATAGCAATTTTGATAAAATAGCATAACCCTTACAGTTCTATAGAATTCATTGGCTTGCACCAGAAGTTCATCGTGGGTCTTCAACTATCAAAAGATTAAATTACGATAGACATGCTTATAATTTCAATTTACTTACTGTCGTAGTTCCATTCGCTACTTGCTGATATATTCACATTGCAGACTTTGCGTCTATTGGTGGCTTCTTTGGTATCAAGATCAGCTTTGACAGATGCTTTCATTATTAAGGAGACGAAGCAAGAACCATTAGGTAACATCTTCATCTCTATGCTTGAAGAAAGGAAGAAACTCTAATGATGCTGTAAGTAGATGACAGTATTTGTCTATATATAAGCCTATGTTTTACTATAACTATATCATCACTTTCTTAGCATTAGTATGGGCCGTTAGCTAGAACCTTTTTTTTTTCCCAGATTTTTAGCTTAAGTTTTGAAAATGTCTGGTAAAACTTTTCAGATTTTCAGCTTATTTGCTTCAGTTCAAAAAACTCAAAATCCTTGATTAACCTTGGTCTTTATTAATGCAGCGTTGTCTTGTTGTTGGGATTACCCAATTGTATAAGCAATAGGGTTTTCAGAAAGGCTTGGAGTGGTAATTAGGCTATTTCCAAGGGGGGGAATATAAGAAGAGCATGCAGACCTATATCTTTGCTCTTTATTTATTGAAATATAAAACTCCAGTTTAGCATAGGCTACTAGCAAAATAAAAGCTGCCTGACCATTCGGCTAGTCTCAATTCTCAACCTTAGAAGTCTGTAAGTTATTGTTTGTGGTTAGTTAGTTTTAGATTATTTATGCAATACCGTAGCTATTAAGCTTAATGGCATTCATTGGAAATTTTGTGTCTTATTTTAATTGATAATTGTTAAATCAAAGCATATCGTATGTGTGATAAACTGATAATTGAGTGTTAGAATCCTTCTAAATTCATGATAAATTAATTATTTATATGGCATTTATGGCCTTAGCAAATAATTTGGGAATTTTGGTTTGTGATTATCTTAGTTCTAGTTTCAATTTTTAATAAAATGATGCATGTTATTTTGTTTATGTAATTTTGTAATTGGTAAGCAATATTAGGCTTAATTAAGTGAGATTAACTTATGGGGGGACTATCATGCTTATGTGTTGGGTTTTTTTGGTCATGTGGTTAGTTGTTGGGATGGAGACACATGCATTGTACTAGAACGGACAAGTGTCCCAAGTATTTTTAGGTGTTAGCGTAGAGAGAGAGAGAGAGAGAGAGAGAGACCATATCTCCCATGCTTGGTATCTGACATTAAGAGAGAGAGAGAGAGAGAGATTTCCAGAAAGAATTGTAGAACCCATCCAGGTTATATTATCTCATTCATGTGTCTATCTATATTCATGAAATAAAATTGGAAAATTAGGTAAATGATCATTTAAAATTTGGTAAAGCTTGGACCTAGGAATTGGGGAGTTTAGTTTGCATGTGTGTGGTAAAGTCATGGTTGTGGAAATCATGCATGCAATAGACTTCTTGTTATTTGTGATTTGTGATTTGTGATTTGTGACTTGACTTGTGACTTGTGTGACTTGTGACTTGAAACATGGATTTGATGATGCTTGGAGGTTAGGTTGATGTTGTGGGAGGCCTTTGGGAACTTATGTTTCGTGTATCGAGGTTGATGAGACCTTAGAATGGAGTTTGGGGGATTTGGGGTTGAGAACCAAACTGGTTTTGAACCCCAAAAACAAACCCTTAACAACTCGCCCTAGCAAGTCTGCCAGTGGGAGTGCACAGTTTAGCAACCACCTCCGCGAACACAACTTCTACCCCTACCTCTGGGACCCACCTTAGAATATAATTAAGATTGTACATTACCAATATCATATTGGCAATATGGAATCATACGATTTAATCAGCATAAATGAAATTTGAGTAATAACTTATGGAATCATCTTGTGGATAAATTGGTCTAAATTGTATTTCTGACATACGTTGTGAAGGATCATTAGGAAGAGACCAATATAGCTTCATAAGAGGACAAGGCAAATAAAACCATGGGCATCTCCGAGCTTAGTTTATAAAGAAATGTTATTTCCTTCCAAGCATGACTTGATCACAAAGTTATATTTTTCTTTATTGTTAATACATGTTTTATCTTTCACAAACCCATGGATACCCCTCTATATGTTTTTATAATCATGTGATGCGATACTTCTATATGCCATTTGTAATTAGTTCTAGCTACCAAGGGACAGTAAGCATGTTGATAACCATGTAGTGAGACATCCCTGTGTCTCACTATACGTGACTTGCCCTTTTGTGATATGTGTTTGGAGCACAGGTTGACACAATCTCCTTTCATTCTGCCTTTGCTTTCATTGAAAATTCTCTGTTCTCTCTTTTTATATAAAAATTTGATTATTAATATCTGTTACAAGTTACTATTTCGATAACTTCATGCACCCATGGTGCTTTGGTTTATTACTCATGCTTTAGTATAATATTACTCGCCGAGTTTTGACTGGTCTTTTATTATTCTATAACCATTTCAGGAAATGATCCCTACATGATGTGAGTTTTGTGAAAGCTTGGAGCATGTTTGAAAACCCAATTTGCTGTGTGTTGTTGTGACCTTGTATATGTGTAATGGATGTAATCTTGTTTTGCATCTTTGACGATCACTGTTGTTTATTTGAGGTCTAAGGATGTTAAGACTTGTGTTTACGTATCTAATGTGGTGCCATAAATATTTGTATATATTTGCTCTGATGGAGGGTTGTGATCGGACAATTTGTATTTCTTTTATTATATAATTATGACTATTGCCCACAGCTCAATTTAGTTTTTTTTCTTTTTTTATGTAAAAAATTAACTGTCTAATTAAATTAGCCCCAAAAAAATAAAACCAAACCATATTTATAGACTCAACTGCATTTTTCTATCCTGTAATCAATCACCCATGACCTAGTTGTCCAATAAAATGAGAAAGATAATCAAGGGTAAATAAAAAAACTTCAAAAAAAATTACATTTGACTTCAAAGTATATAGTAGGTATTAGTCCCAATCCAAAAGGGATCAAGGATGCTAACTATCTGACCTAAGATTAAATTTCCCCCAAGCTTGCTGGTAGATGGGTCAATTCATACCATGGCGTCTGCTCTCTACACAACATCATTTTCTCTTTTTAAATTCTTTTGTCCTGTCGAAACATTTATAATTGTAGGTTTATGTCTAGAAAGTTTTACATTTCAAAATTCTTAGATGTAACGGTTAGATTATGCTTTGAGATTTTTGCATTTTGAAATTTATTTATGATTTAGTGGTTACTAGCATATCACTCACAGGATAAAATAATATATTATTTAATAAAAATTTGATAATTATATTTGATTTTTTATATTATGAAAAATAAAAGTTAAATAGAAACTAATCAATTGAGATTTTTTTAATTGTTTAAAATTAAGAAAATTAAAAAAAATAGTGTGATATATTGATCTAAAGGCTTTTCACTAAAAATTTCATTTTGCTTATATAAATGAGAGTATAAGATTCGTTTTATGTCAGTGAAATAATTCACTTTTTCCTTCTTTTTTCGATGTGAGTTTATAAAATAAAAGTTAAATGAAAGCTAGCCAATGAGGATTTTCTTAATTGTTTAAAAGTTAACAATTATTTTTGGGCGGAAAGTTTATTTCGAATCAAGCAATCTTAATCGTTTAATCTTTAATTAGGTCAATCTTTAATTTGTTTCGAATCAAACAAATTTAAATAATATATTTTGATGAAACAGTTAAAATCGCAGTTAAACCAGCGAATCAGTCAAACCAAAAATGGTTCACCCTATCGATTAGGTCAAAGGACCAACCAACTTATACAAAAATTAATTAATTAAAACTTTTAAACTTTATTTTGATTTTAAAATTTAAACTGTCTTAAACTGAAATATACATAACACTACAATAGTAAATGAGAGCATAAGGTTTATATAGTGAAATAACTCATTTTTTTCTCCTTTTCCTGATGTGTGATTGTAAAATAAAAGTTATTAGTTATTTGGACAGGAAGTTCATTTCTAATCAAACAATCTCAGTCGTTCAATTTTTAATAAGGTCAATCTTAATTTATTTCAAATCAAATAAATCTAAGCAATAGCTTTTGATAAAACAGCTAAAATCGTGGTTAAACCAATGAATCAGTCAAACTGAAAGTGATTCAGTCTAATCGACTAAGTCAAAAGACCAACCAATTTACAACAAAATTAATTAATTAAAACCTTTAAAATTTAAACTATCTTGAACTGAAACATGCATAATATTATAATATATTAAATGAGAGTATAAGATTCACTTTATATAAGTGAAACAACTCACTTTTTATTTCTTTTTCGATGTGGGATTATAATTATTTTAAAATTAAATATTATGAGAGTTTTAAAATCTCATACAAAATTATTTTTAAAATCAAAACGTCTATATCGGATTGTACAATAAAAGTTAAATGGAAGATAACCAATGGAGATTTTCTTAATTGTTAAAAATTAAGAAAATAAAAAAAAATGTATTAATTATAGGGTTTCTCACTAAAAATCTTATTTTGTTTATGTAAATGAGAGCAAAAGATTCACTTTATATAAGTGAAATAATTCGATTTTTCTTTCTTTTCCCGATGTGGGATTGTAAAATAAAAGTTAAATGGATATACACATTGGATTGCAACCTTCACATTGCACCTTCATATAGCACGGGTGATATGGTAGGAGTATTATACATATGTTCTTAAACACAAACAAAAAAAAAATGGTATTAATTATAGGGATTCTCACTAAAAATCTTTTTTTACTTATATAAATGGGAATATAAGATTCACTTAAGTGAAATAATTCACTTTTTCCTTCTTTTTCCGATGTGTGATTGTAAAATAAAAATTAAATAGAAGCTAACCAATAGGGATTTTTTTAATTGTTTAAAATTAAGAAATTTCAATTATTTATATAAATTAGAGTATAAAATTCACTTTATGTAAATGAAACAATTCACTTTTTTCTCTCCTTTTTTTTTCTCGATTTGAGATTGTAAAATAAAAAGTAAATGGAAACTAATCAATGAGAATTTACTTAATTGTTTAAAATTAAGAAAATTCAATAATTTTAGAATGAGGGTTTGGAACTTTTAGAAGGTTTCTCCCTTAAAACTCCATTTATAAGATTCATTTTATAGAAGTGAAATAACTCACTTTTTCTTTATTTTCCCGATGTGGGATTGTAACAATTTATATAAGTAAAACAACTCACCTTTTCTTTTTTTTCTCAGTGTAAGATTAAAATTATTTTAAAGTTAAATATTATGAAAGTTTTAAAATCTCATACAAAATTATTTTTAAAATCAAAACTATGTGGGATTGTAAAATAAATGCTAAATGGAAGCTAGTCAATGGGGATTTTCTTAATTATTTAAAATTAAGAAAATCAAAAAAAAAAATGAGTATGAGATATTGATCATAAGGTTTCTCATTAAAAATCTCATTTTGCTTATATAAATGGGAGCATAAAATTCATTTTATATAAGTGAAACAATTCACTTTTTCTTTCTTTTGTCGATGTAGGATAGTAAAATAAAAGGTAAATGGAAGCTAGCTAACGGGAATTAGAGAGGCATAGTTTAGGTTGGTAAATTTATCATGCTCGATCATTTTGTAAACTCATATGCATATTATAAAAAAAAAAAAAAAATCAAATTCATTCTAAAGTCATGTTCATATAATTTCAATGTATTTATCTTTAATAAAAATATATGATCTATTTATAAAATTATATATATTATTTATTTTTAAAAATTAATTATAATAAAATTATGTGATTATAAATGATAGTCTCACTCAAAGTAAATCGAACTTTAATTTATTGAGAATATTGTTAATAAAAACTAAAAATAAATCAAAGCGAAAAATTCACTTTTTTTTTTCCTGATGTGGGATTGTAAAATAAAAGTTAAATGGATATGTACATTGGATTGCAGATTGAAACTGTATTTACAAAAGCACCTTCACATTGCATAGGTGATATGCTAGGAGTATTGTATATGTGTTCTTAAACACACAAATAAAAAAAATTGGTATTAATTATAGGGCTTATCACTAAAAATCTTCTTTTACTTATATAAATAAGAGCAAAAGATTCACTTTATATAAGTGAAACAATTAATTTTTTCTTTCTTTTCCCGATGTGGGATTGTAAAATAAAAGTTAAATAGAAGCTAACCAATAGAGATTTTCTTAGTTGTTTAAAATTAAGAAATTTCAATAATTTATATAAATTGGAGTATAAGATTCACTTTTTCTTTTCTTTTTTCTCGATTTGGGATTGTAAAATAAAAGATAAATGGAAGCTAACTAATGAGAATTTTCTTAATTGTTTAAAATTAAGAAAATTCAATAATTTTAGAATGAGGGTTTGGACCTTCTAGAAGATTTCTCCCTTAAAACTCCATTTATAAGATTCATTTTATATAAGTGAAATAACTCACTTTTTCTTTATTTTTTCAATGTGGGATTGTAACACTTTATATAAGTGAAACAATTCACTTTTTCTTTCTTTTCTCCATGTGGGATTATAATTATTTTAAAATTAAATATTATGAGAGTTTCAAAATCTTATACAAAATTATTTTTAAAATTAAAACTATGTGGAATTGTAAAATAAAAGTTAAATGAAGCCAGTCAATGGGGATTTTCTTAATTGTTTAAAATTAAGAAAATCAAAAAAATGAGTATGAGATATTGATCATAGGGCTTCTCACTAAAAATCTCATTTTGCTTATATAAATAGGAGTATAAGATTCACTCTATGTAAGTGAAGCAATTCACTTTTTCTTTCTTTTTTCAATGTAGGATTATAAAATAAAAAGTAAATGGAAGCTCGCTAATGGGAATTAGAAAGGCATAGTTTAGGTTGGTGAATTTATCATATTCGATCATTTTGTAAACTCATATGCATATTAAAAATAAAAAATAAAAATCAAATTCATTCTAAAGTCATATTCATGTGATTTCAATGTCTTTATTTTTAATAAAAATATATGATCTATTTATAAAATTATATGCATTATTTATTTTTAAAAATTAAATATAATAAAATTATGTGATTATAAATGATAGTCTCGCTCAAAGTAAATCGAACTTTGATTTGTTCAGAATGTTGATTATAGAAACTAAAAATAAATCAAAGTCAATCAACTAACCTCCTGTTCTCTCCGACATGTGCCTTGTTACATTGTCATCCATGTGATCATAATCGTAGAATTAACTTGCATCATTGCATTTGGAGCAAAATATTGTTTTAAAAATATAATTAATTGTAGTCATGCAGGCAAGATGGACCCAATTCGGGAGATGGGTGACGGTCTCCAAATTTCGAAACATTTTATTATTATAATAATAACATTAATTATTAAAAAAAAACCTTTAAATTATATAATCCAAATTTCGAAACCCTTTTATTATAATAATAATAACATTAATTATTAAAAAAAGGCTTTAAATTATATAAGTTGATCTCCTATTAGAGAGGCATATTCTCACTGTATAGTTTGGTGAACCATCAACCTAAAATATGATAAAAGCTTCCAACTTAAACTATCAGAGCATCTCCAACGGTGAATTTCTTTTTTCACCAAATCTGAGTAAAAAATGACTCATTTCACCAACTCTAATATCACTAGCTCCAACGGTGCATCAAATCCCGATTGGGTCAACCGGTTGGTCGACCGGTGGGTCGACCGGTAAGCGTAAATATTTTTTTTTATATCAGCTTTAAACGCTCTATGTTTTTTAGAATATTTC